CGTCGTTGTCATCCTAATCATTGGTCGTGGGGCCTGAACTCTGGGCCTGGGCCCTGTCCTGTCCCTCAGCTCTTCAGCTCAAGGCTAGTGCCCTACCACTTGAGCCACAGCGCCACTTCCAGCTTTTTTCTGCTCATGTGGTGCTGAGGAATCTAACCCAGGGCTTCATGCATGTGAGGCAAGCGCTCTACCACTGAGCCACCTTCCCAGCCCTAGACTAGGGGGTTAAGGTAGTGAATAATATCAATAGTTTCTCTCTCTGCCACCTTCCTTTCTCCCTTCCCCCCTTTCCTTTCCTATTTATTTATTAGCTGGGTATGGTGGCTCACATCTGTATTCCTAGCTAATCACAAAGCTGAGATGTGAGTATGGATGGAGAACCCCTTTACTTCCCCTCCTACCCATCCCTCTCCCATCCAGCACTGGCAGTGATGGGTCAGATTCATAGCTAGCAAGCTTTAGCACAAACAAGAGAAGCTTCTAATAAAATTGTTAGGTCCAAATAGCCAAATGTCTTTATCTTGAGGCCCCAGAACAGTGCCTTGATTCAATAATACTCCCACCTCTTTCCCAGACCAGATAAACTCATGCAGCAGGCACAGACTCAAATGTACTCCCAGCCCAGTGTGGACCTTGAGCAGATACGCAGCCCTTGCTTCCTCCCTAGCTCCAGCTGTGACCTTGTTTCCCACCATTTCTCTCATTCTGGTTATTTCCAAACCACTCCTATTAGGCAGTTCTAGTGCTCTTTCAGACCACTGTGAATATTTCAGAGTGAGTCTCTTGCTTTGGCTGAAGGTTCCCCTGTGCAGTTGTGTGTGTGTGTGGCACATGCGTGTGCATGCATACGTGTGCACGTGTGCTAGTCCTAGGACTTGAATTCAGGGCCTGGGCACTGTCCCTATGGCTTTTTGCTCAAGGCAAACATAGAGCTACTGTTCTACGTTTAGTTGGTTAATTGGAGGTAAGAGATTCATGGACTTTCCTGGCTGGGCTGGCTTTGAACCAGGATCCTCAGCTCTCAGCCTCTTGTGTAGCTAGGATTACAGGCATGAGCCACCAGTCCTATTGTTGTCGTTTTTGTTTGTTTGTTTTGTTTTCTAATAAACCCATGCTGCTATTCTGTCTGGCCTTTTTCCTCTTTTTGAATCTAGCAGACATTGCCTTCCCTACTGCAGATTTCCTCCTTGAACCATGAGGGTTGTTAGGTCCCAAGAGCCCTTTGCTCTTATCTTGAGGTCCCAGACCAGAGCCTTGATTTACTAACACTCCCTCATTATCCTCTCTCTAACTGGCTGAATTCCTGTGTCTGGTGCCAGACCAAAAATTTATTGTCAATTGGGCCTTGAGCACAAAATCCCAGCCCAGCTTCTTCCCTGCCCCCAACTGTGATCCCTCCCCACGAGAGTTATGTCCTACCATTAGTTTTCTTCATACCAACCCTCACCAGACAACGTTGGTAACTCCACTACAAATACACCATGTGTAAGCTAGGAGGCTGTAGCTCTAGCTGGGGAAGGGGGGTTCCCCTTCCGCAGGGTTTTCCCCCCAATAAACCTATGCTGGAGTTGAGCCTTCTCTTGTCTAATATGTGCCTTTTTGAACCTAGCCAGGGTAGAGAGCATACATTTGCCTTGTTTAGAGTGTTAGATTAGTATTAAAATCTATAACAGGCCGGGCACAGGTGGCTCACACCTGTAATCCTAGCTACCTACCTAGGAGGCTGAGATATGGGGATCACCATTCAAAGTCAGCCCAGGCAGGAATATCCCCATGAGAATCTTATCTCCAATTAACCATCAGAAAACTGGAAGTGGTGCTGTGGCTCAAGTGGTAGAGCACTTGCCTTGGGCGCCCCATGACTGACCAAAAAAAAATCTAAAACAGTTTTTTTTTTGTGTGTGGGGGGTGTCCGGTCGTGGGGCCTGAACTCTGGGCCTGGGCTCTGTCCCTCAGCTCTTCAGCTCAAGGCTAGCACTCTACCACTGGAGCCACAGTACCACCTCTGGCTTTTTTTTTTTTTTCTGCTTATGTGGTGCTGAGGAATCGAACCCAAGGCCTCATGCATGCAAGGCAAGCACTCTACCACTAAACCACCTACCCAGCCCTCTAAAACAGTTTTAAGGACAGACATGAGAGAGTTTTAGAGGTAATAATTCATCAACTATTAGAGAGAATATTAAGAAAAGTTGGAACTACAGGTCAAGTAGGAGAGTACCAGCCATGAAGCAAAAAGACAAGGGAGACCCTCAGGCCCTGAGTTTAAGAGTACAACCCCACACCCCCAAAAAAGAGTACAAACCCGTGTGTGTGTGTGTGTGTGTGTGTGTGTGTGTATTATTATTATTCTTAAAAGAAAAAGCTGGGCCCTGGTAACTTATGCCTTGAGATCATCTAAGGATTACAGTTCAAAGCCAGTCCAGGCAGGAAAGTGTGTAAGACTGTTATCTCCAATTAACTGCCAGAAAATGGGAAGTAGAGCTGAGGTTCAAAGTGGTAGAGCACTACTTAAGTATAAAAGCCTAGGCCCTGAATTCAAGCCCCATGACCACCAATTAAAACACACACACACACACACACACACACACACACAAATCCTGAGCAACAAATCTCTTTTTTAGCCAGGTTCTAGTGGCTCATGCCTGTAGTCCTAGCTCAGGAGGTTCAGATCTGAAGATCCTGGTTGGAAGTCTTGAGAAACTCATCTCCAAATGACCAGCAAAAGACCAGAAATGAAAGTGTGGCTCAACTGGTAGAGCACCAGCCTTGAGAGAAGAAGCTAAATAAGTGGATAAGGCCCTGAGTTCAAGTCCCAGTACTAGCACGCACACACACACACACAAAGAAGGAAGTTAGTGCCATCTGTTTGTGAAAAATTAAGGCTTTTAGAAAGCAGATTTGTAGGGCTGAGAATGTGGCTTTGTGGTGGAGTGCTTGCCTAGCATGCATGAAGCCCTGGGTTTGATTCCTCAGTACCACATACACAGAAAAGCCAGAAGAGGCACAGTACTGGCCTTGAGCAAAAGAAATTCAGGGACAGCGCCCAGGCCCTGAATTCAAGCACCAGGACTGGCACAAAAAAAAAAAAAAAGGAAAAAAGAAAGCAGATTTGTAATTAAAGAAAACATTGAGCTGAGTGTAACGGTTCATAACTGTAATCTCAAAATTTAATAGATTCAGGCAATTGTGAGTTTGAGGCCAACCTAGGCTAAATATTTGAGACCCTGCTTAAAAATGAAATAGGTCCAGGAAATGGAAACAAGCATTATCTTCATTGCTGTTTTCATTTTCTGTCCTTTTTTCTTTTTTCTGTTCTTCTTTTCTTTTTTGAGGGGAGGCACAGAAATGGAGGGACAAAGAGTAAACAAATGCAGGAGTGGTACTAACTAGACACTATGTGGAAAATGAACATACAACGTGTGGCTGGGGCTGGGAGGAAAAACTGGGAGGAGGAGGGAAGGGGTGACATAGTCCAAAAAGAGATGTACTGTTTTGAAAAATTTTTTTTTCTGGTCCTAGGGCTTGAACTCAGGGCCTGGGCTCAGTCCCTGAGCCTCTCTGTGCTCAATGCTAGTGCTCTACCACTTGAGCCACAGCACCACTTCTGGCTCTGTTTATGTGGTTCTGAGGAATTGAACCCAAGGCTTCATGCATGCTAGGCAAACACTCTACCACTAAGCCACATTCCCAGCCCAGAAGTGTACTCTTTACCTGACTTACGTTAACTGTAACACCTTTGCACATCACTTTTATAGTAACAGTAATAAATATTTAACAAGTAGAGACAATGAAGATAATAGTTACCTGAGAAGCACCCTATGTTGTTCAGTGTGCATGTGAAGTTCATATGTATCAACTGGGGTAGATGTACAGACTTTTAGAATTGGACCTACCTCTGCTGGCTTCAAATGTTAATCCTTATAACTCAGCCCCCCTGAGCAGTTACGATTATAGATATGAGCCACTAGCCCCCAGCTGGGTCTTGCAGCCTTGCTTAGCTTTTCTGTTTCAGGTTGACACTCAACCACCTGAGCCATACTTCAACCTCTAGCTTTTTGTTCCAGTTAACCAACTAGAGATTACAGTCTCTCCTATTTTCCTGCCCAGGCTGGACTGGAACCCAGATCTTCAGATCTCAATCTCCTGAGTAGCTAGGATTACAGGTTTGAGCCATAAGTTCCTGGAGGTTATGGCTCTTTTATGCTCCATCAGTGAAAGGCTTATTCCTGAGTCAGAGTTATTCTGAATCCCAATGTCTACAGCTTGCTGATGTAACTTTATAACAGATAAGTTTATTGTCTACATAAAGCATATGTTTTGGATGAATGAATGAATGAATTTTTGCTGGTCCCGAGGCTTGAACTCTGGGGCCTGGGTGCTATCCCTATACTTTTTGTTCACTGCTAGCACTCTACCATTTGAGCCACAGTGCTACTTTTGACTTTTCCTGTGATTTAATTGGAGAAAAGAGTCTCAGAGACTTTCCTGCCAGGGCTGGCTTTGAACTGCAATCCTCAGATCTCAGCCCCCTGAGTAGCTACAATTACAGGTCATGAGTCACCAGCGCCTAGCTAAATTGTGTGTGTGTGTGTGTGTGTGTGTGTGTGTGTGTGTGTGCTGGTCCTGGGGTTTGAACTCAGGGCCTGGGTTGCTGTCCTTGAGCTTTAGCATTCTACCACTTGGGGCACAGCTGGACTTCTATTCGTTTTGGTGCTTAATTGGAGATTAGAGTCTCATGGACTTTCCTGCCAGAGCTGTCTTCAAACTGAGACAATAAGATCTCAGCCTCCTAAGTAGCTAGGATCATAGGCATGAGCCACCAGTTCCTGGCTTATTCATCATGTTTGATAAGCAGGCCATGACCAGGGCTGCGGCCATCAGCCTCAAACAGCTGACATTTAGTGACGGAGGTTCCCAGTGTCATAAGTTATTTCCTCAAGGTCCCCCAGTTAATATACATAAAGATGAAAGTGGAGGACCCCAAAGTCTCTGGGACTGACCTGTTATCAGGGGGCATCCATGGAAGCACAATATGCATATCTGGGGGCAGTAGGTAAGAACAGCTTCCACAGCATCATCCGTCAGATTGACACAGTGCCCCATGTGAATCTCCTGTTATGAAGAAGAAGAAGAAATCAATATGTAGCAAGAGAGTATGTCTGATTAATCTTAAAACTACTGAATGAACCCAGTGCTGGTGGCTCATACCTATAATCCTAACTACTCAGAAGGCTGAGAGCTGAGGATCATGGTTCAAAGTCAACCTGGGTAGAGGTGAGACTGAGACTCTTATTCTAATTAACCAACAAAAGCCAGAAGTGCAAATATGGCTCAAATGGTAGAGCTCCAGCCTTGAGTGAAAAAGCTAAGCAAGAGCACAAGCACACACACACACACACACACACACACACACACACGAAAGTAAAAGATGAAAGCAAGGAAGGATGACATTGTCCAAAAAGAAATATACTCATTACCTGACATGAAACTGTAACCTCTCTGTACATTACCTTTATAATAACAAAAAATAAATTAAGAAAAAACTCTACTACTGAAAAAGGAGGAGAAAACACATCTACAGTAACAGTATAAAAAAGTTGGTATGGGGAAGTGGCTGGGAAGGTGGCTCAGTGGTAGAGCGCTTGCCTTGCATGCCTGAGGCCCTGGGTTTGATTCCTCAGCACCACAAAAGTAAAAAGAAAAAAGCCGGAAGTGGTGCTGTGGCTCAAGTGGTAGAGCTCTAGCCTTGAGCTGAAGAGCTGAGGGACAGCACCCAGGCCCAGAGTAGTTCAGGCCCCACGACCAAACCAAAAAAAAAAAAAAAAGAAAAAAAAAGTTGGGAAACCATTCAGATACAACAACAGTCTACTCACAACAAACAAACACAAACCAACTAAATAGAAAGGACCAGTATAATCCTAAAGAACTTTGGACGTTAAACTAGCTTTGAAGCCTGGTGCAGGTGGCTCCCACTTATAATCTTAGTTACTCAAGAGGCTGAGATCTGAGGATTCAGGTTTAAAAACCAGCCTGAATAGATAACAAACTCTTATCTCCAATTAACCTGAAAGAAAGCCTGATATAAAGGCTTGATTCAAATGGTAGAATACCAGCTTTGAGCAAAAAAGCTAAGGGATAGCACCCAGGCTTTGAGTTCAAACCTGAGTACCAGCACAAAAAGAAAAAAAATTTTAAAAAGGAAAGAAACATAAAAACAGGCCTGGAAAGTATCACTCTAGTGATAGAGCATCTGTGTTCAAAACCTCAGTACTATCAGAGGGGAGGGGGGGGACATGAACATGAAATATAGTCTAAACAAAGACTTGTATGTAAGTCTAAACTGGAAATAAGTGAAATATCTACCATATGATGAAAGTATAAATAAAACTGTGCAGATCTGTATTGCAGAATACCATTCAGCAAGAAAAGGCAGTGTTATTAACACTGAATCCATAAACTTTGCACTAAATGAAAGAAGTGAAAACAGAAAACAAACAAACAAAAACAATACAACAAAAACAGAAACGACTCCAGTGGCTCACACCTATTATCCTAGCTATTCAGGAGATTAAGATCTGAGAATTGTGGTTCAAAGCCAACCTGGGAAGTAAAGTCCATGACACTCTTACCTCCAATTAATCACCAAAAAGCTGGAAGCAGAGATGTGGCTCAAGTGGTAGAGCACTAGACTTGAGCACAAAAGCTCAGTAACAACATCCAGACACTGAGTTCAAGCCCCACACAAAAACAAAACAAAAATAAAATTAACAGACTATATTCTCAACTCTCTTCTGATATGTCGATCCTTGTGTCCAAAGGCTGAATACTAATTTAAGATCTTTTAATGGTTCTGCGGATTGAACCCAAGATTTGGAGCATGCTAGGCAAGTGCTCTACTCTTTTTTTTGGGGGGGGGAGGGTCCAGTCGTGGGGCCTGAACTCTGGGTCTGGGCGCTGTCCTTCAGCTCTTCAGCCCAAAGGCTAGCACTCTACCACTTGAGCTACAGTGCCACTTCTGGCTTTTTTCTTTTTGCATATGTGGTGCTGAGGAATCGAACCCAGGGCCTCATGC